GGTTAAACTCTCAGTCTAGGTGCCCTGCACACATAAACTGTCCTGCAAAGATCTGGAACAAGAGCCAAGGCCAAGGGCAGGGGGGCTGGGGAGAGAGCCAAGCTGGAGCCACAGAGAACTGTGGGAAGGAGGGAGGCCTCTAGTGCTCATGGTGTGTGCCTGAGCTCTTGTGCACACCCCTGCTAACATGACCTCTGCATAGCTGCTGGAGAACAGCATGCCAGGCCTCATCACGGTGGCTCAGGGCATGAGCAGGCAGCAGTGATGGGCACACCCATCAGAGAGCAGCCTTCTGTGGCTTAGGGCTGCTTGGGTGCAGCTCTGTTCCAGCAGGCACAGTCCACACGAATGTCTCTCCAGGAGGGAAGACAGCAGGGCTAGAGGGGCCAGCAGGCTGCCATTCCTAGTCAAACCCAGCCCAGGCCAGTAGATCAGCAGTATGGGCCCGGCCTTCCTTGATCCTGCCCCTGAGTGCTGGGGGGGAGGGGGAGAAAACAGCTGGGAAGAGGTTAAAGTCACGTGAGCAGGGGTGATGTTCCACACATGGAATGTCCTTCAACAGCCAGCCTGGCACACGGTGGCCAGGCTCAGAGCCCTGAGGCACACCTCCTGTGGGTGTGCTAGCTCCTCACAAGCACCTGGAGGTGGCACAGCCTCCTGTATCTGGGATGCTGGCCATCTACCGACCCTGCACCCCAGCCCGAAGTACATCCCTCAGGGCCACTTCCGCTGTGGAGTTGGGGATGAGGTCTCCAAGTTGACGCAACCTGCAGACCATGCTGGGAGAGGTTCTAAAAATAGAGATGCAGACAGGGACCTTGGGGAAATGCCCATGACTCACTCCTTACTTGGAGCACATACTATGCAGCAGCTAGTGGTGCTTTTTTTGAGACTGCACATTAAAAGAGGGTCAGATTTTGAAAATTTAGCTTAGTAAATAGAGAACCCAGGCAGAAAAATGTCAGCAGAGTTTGTTAGTATTTTTTTCTTGGTCTCCTGAAAAGGCCTGGTGACCCTAAACTTTCACTTGCCATTTGTCACAACATCAATCCCAGGTTCTTATAATTCTGGGCACTCAGAGGGAAGGTGCTCCCAGAGAACTGCCAGAAATCATCTTCCAAGTGCACTTGCATTTGTCACTCTTCACAGGGAATGCTTCAGAGGTTGAGAACTTGCTCCTGTACCTGGTAAGCAAGGAAGGCCAAGCCCACACCCTGAAGCTCACTTGGAAGCAGGAGTGAACAAAAGAGGTGCCTCCCCAAGGCCAGTGGGCAATGGCACAGCCAGGCAAAGCAGGCTGGGGGAATGATAACCTCTCACCAGGCTTTGCTAACCAACTACTTTCTTGCACACAACCTCAGAGAAAACCCCAAATCAATGTCTGTCTGTCTCTGTCACTGTCTCTGTCTCTGTCTCTCTCTGTCTCTCTCTCTGTCTCTCTCTCTGTCTCTCTCTCTGTCTCTCTCTCT